ATCTCAGCTTCCTTGCTTGTTAATGGGAGCACCTACACCACAGGGTTATCTGAAGGATCAAGTTAGAAATGCACACGATAACGTAGCCTTTCTATTCTAGTGCTTGCCAAATTATATGCGCAAAAGGTCACTATTACCCCCAAATGATGGGGGGGGATGTCCAAGGGACCAGGGGACCATTTGAAAGAGAGCTTGAAATGGCCAAATCTAGAATACATGGAATGACAAAATAAAATAGGATCACATTATAACCTAAAGTTTAAAATAAATATCCATGAGTCCTACTGGTACCAAAAAAAAAAAAATAACTGAACACATAAATAAATGGAGAAGAGACACATCTTCTATGCAGAATTCCCAGCAATTTATATAGACACTCTGCCCTCCAGAAGCAAAGATGTACAGTATGAAAAGCTGAGAAGCAAAGAGTACAGTATGAAAAGGGGAGAAAATAAGAGTGACTTTTTTTTTCCCCTTTCTGAGTTTCATTTTTTTTTATTTTGGCATATTATGGGGGTACAGATTTTAAGGTTTCAATAAATGCCCATTCCCCCCTCCTCCCACAAGTCTGAGTCTCCAGCATGACCATCCCCCAGATGGTGCACATCTCACTCATTATGTATGTATATACCCGCCCCCCTCCCCCCTCCCACCTGCCCAATACCCTATTGAGCTTCTTTTTTTTTTTAATTTCGGCATATTATGGGGGTACAGATTTTAAGGTTTCAATAAATGCCCATTTCTCCCCTCCTCCCACAAGTCTGAGTCTCCAGCATGACCATCAAGAGTGACTTTTTAATGCAATGGAAATAGCTGACACCTCAGCCAGGTGATCAAAGGTTGTAATCAACATGTTGACACTATGTGCCCCTGATGTGACGTGATGAAAACAGCAGTTTACCTCCGTGGTCTTCCTCCCAAAGGTCCATCCCCCTGGTCTAATCATGAGAAAATCATTAGGCAAATCCAAATAGAGAGAGGAATCTGCAAAATATGTGAGTAGTCGTCCTTAAAACTGTCAAGATTATCAAAAACAAGGAAAGTGTGGGAAACTGTGATAGCCAAAAGGAGCCCAAGGAGACACCAACTGGGTGTGGTGATAAGGTATCCTAAGATGGAATCGTGGAACAGGAAAAAAGGTACCAGGTAAAAATGAAAGAAATCTGAATAAACTACGGACTTTAGTTAATAATGTGTTAATATCAGTTGATTAATTGTAATAAGGTACTAAGCCAATTTAAGATGCTAATGATAGGGGCAATGGGGAGGAGGGCATAAGGGAATTCTTTGAACTGCCTTCTTGACTTTTCTGTGAATCTAAACCCATTCTGAAAACTAAAGCCTATTTGAAAAAAATTATTGTTGTTTGCTTATTTGTTTTCTGGGGTTCTCTCTTCTGTGAAACATCCAAGACTCCCAGGAGGAGGCATTACATCCAAGACATTGGTCCCAGCTGCCACTCCCTTTGTCAGTCCAGCAAGTCCCGTCCTTTTTGGGTGTGGCTGGTGTGACCCCCACCGTAGGGCAACAGGAGGGTCTGGCTGTACACACGCTCCTCTGAAGGGTTACCTGCCAACTCTGGAAGTGGTGACCCAGCAGCATGACAGAAACCCACGTCCACTAAGAAAAGTGTTTAGACAAACTAGGATTTAGCATCCGTCGCAGACAAAAATCGATAATTTTCTTTCACCGCCAACACTGCCTTGGTTGAATCACTCATCACATTGAATTTTCATTAATCCATCTTCTCTCCCCATCTGCGAACTCCCCAGTGGAAGGGAGTTTTCTCATTTATCTGTGTACTCCCAGGGCTTACTCTTATGCCCAGTACAGATGACTCGAAAAAGTGATGATCGAGTGGAAGACCAGTCAATAGCGTTTAAACTGGCAATGCTGAAACTCAACTTGATGGTCTGGCAGATTGTATTTTATGAAGATTGCCACGATAAATATTAACCACTTCGGTGCGGCGCTCACTGGCCGCGAAACCTTGCCCACAGCTGGCACTCATAGTCCGCGTGATAGTTTGTGCTGTGCATTCACGATGAATCCGTTTTGCTCTTGTGTGATGAGGAAAGCTTTAAAGCACTGAAAACTTGTTTTACTTTACAGGCAGCTTTACTTGTAATGTAAATAAGAATAGGTAACATATACACATATGCTTTCATTATGTTATTCTTTTTAAATGTTCACATTTTATTTTGATAAATGAAAAATTAGAAAAGTCATATCACGGCTGTTGGCTAAAGTTTCTGTGCGCGTTCATCTGTGGCTGTCGACTATAGTCAACACTGGTACCGAAGTGGTTAACTATCTTCCATGCCACATGCTCTTCTTTCCATGCGACTTTGCCACTTCTCCCATAGCATGGAGAAGTCTACATCCCTTTCCCTTGAGATGGGTGGACCTTGGTGACTGCCTTGACCACTAGCATATGGTAGAAGTGATGCTATGTGAGTTCTGAGGTTGCATCATAAAAATGCCATGGACATCTGTGCCTTGCTCTCTTGGGTCCCCTCTCTTGGAACCTGGTCACCATGCTGTGGCTATGTCCAACCAGCCCATGAAAGGTACCTTTGGAGGGGAACTGAGGTCTTGGTCCACATCCTCAGCTGAGCTTCCAGCTGAGAGCCAGCATCCACTTGCTACCTTGGAAGTGGTTTCTCCTGTCTCCCGCCAGCCTTCTCCAGCTGCCGCCATGTGGAACAGACATGAGCCATCCCACCATGCCCTGCCCAATCTGTAGATCCATGAGCCAAGTCAATGACTATTGTTGTTTTAAGCCACTATGTTTTGGAGTGTGCTCTGTAGGAATAGTTAACCAGAACAGATGGGCAAATAAAATTCTTATGTGACTGAAAATAAGACTTGTGAATTATTTTACCTTCTTTCCTATTTTATGCAAAAAAAATAAAAAATAGGACACTGACACTGGAGTTTCTCATCATGAGTAGAAAATGACTGAGAGGGACAGAGCCACATTTAGAAGTAACCAGAAAGTTCTCAAAAATAATAAATCAATGAGTTCATCAATCAATTAATGAATTCAGTGATTATCTACCTGTTGTGGTCCAAGCCCTTGCCTAAGTGCTGGGATATGTTGGTGAATAAGACAGATATGGTCCTCTGTCTTTCTAAAGCTCAACTTTCCAGTGAAAGAACTAAATAATAAAAAAGAATAACACAATTACTTTTAATGAATTCAATCTTAGTGGCTGAAAGAACCTAGCATATTGAGGATTCTTGCCCTGGAGAACAGCTTCTTCAAGTATCTAAAGGATTGTGTCCTGGTTTGCTCTCATGGCTTGGGCTTCCTCATAACATGGCTGGGAGGGTGGCTCGGCTCACAATAATTCGCCCTTCTCTGAGATGCTTTTCTACGCCCCAGTACACAGGTGGGTCCCCATGCTGTAGGTCTCTCTGTCCCCTGGTCAGAGCTGATGGATACAACGGTGGACACCTGACATAGGCTGAGCCAACGAGATTCTTGGAACTGTAGGTAACTGTAGGTAGTGCTGGAAACAGAGGGTTTGATGACTCCCTTTGATGAGGTAGGTCCAGAACCTGCCCTGGTTCCTGCATTCCCTGAGACCGAGTCCTCCTCTTCCTCCTCCTCCTCTTCTTCCTCTTTCTTGACTGAATCAGATTCCCTAGGATCTTTCCAGTTAATTTCTTTTAATGCTAAAGCTTGCTAGAGCTGGTTTTTCATTACTTGCAATAAAACCCAAACCTTCTCTGGTACAAAGTACAAGAGGAATTACCCCTGTTCCTTAAGGCTCTCTAGGGATAGAACTAAGATCAAGAACTAAGAACCACAGGAGAAGTTTCAGCTGAATATAGGAAAGAACATTCTAACAGCCAGAGATATACATCAATGTAGGTAGTGAGCTTCCTCCTCTGGGAGGTTTCCAACTAAAGGCTGGTCAACCACTTAGATGTGATGTCACCAAGGAGATTTAAACATTAACTCCAGGATTGGGCTGGTTGTTAATAATAATGACAATAATAAGTGTAGGCGCTAACAGTTGTGTGTATTTACTGTTTTCCAGGCACCCACGGCAAGTGCTTAACATATGCTATCTTATTTAATCCTCACAATAACCCCATGAGGACATACAACTATCACCACATGGCAAATAAGGAAGCTAAGCCGCCATAAGTTAGGCAACTCACTCAAGGTCGTTTATTTGTTGAACTGGATTTAAACTCAGACTGTCTAAGCCCAGGAACTATGCTCTCTAGGCTAAGGTGAACCTTATTCCACGCCAGCTCCTAAAGTGAACAGGATTTCACCTCCTTTTCCTTATTCCACATTGAATAAATAACCCTGGACATACAAACGGTGAAGCAAAAGTCTTGGGTAGTTGAATTCTGAACAATAGCGAATACTCCATATGAAAAAAAAAAATTCAGCCACACTAGACAAAACTAGATTCATAAGATGATTAAAAAAAAAGTCTTCAAAGCACAGTGAGTCCTGTATAGGTAGAGAGGCTGTCACTAAATATATCTTCCCCAGTGTCACTGGGTATATATTTTTCTTTTTTTTTTTTTTTCCTTCTTCTTTTACTTCTTCCAATTTGAATGTTTATCTGAATAATTTCTACTGTCTTTTTCTGGACTAAATTATTATTATTGTTTTGTTTATCTTTGAAACGCGGAGAATCCCTCCCAATTTTGAATGACTCATTCTGTGATAGATTCTGCCACTGACGAGCGTGTGCGCGTGGGGGAGGTGATTCGAATTGCCAATAGCCTGTTTGTTGACTGTTTCCCAGAAGCAGGCATGATTAAATTCAGCAGAAGTTTCTTTTGTTGATGTGTTTTAAATAATTAAAAAAAACCAAACCCCAAACTCTACCTGATCATTTAGCATTATTTTAAAATCATAGGGAGAATTGAAGGTTCCTATTATGTCTTTAATTGAATAAAGGAGACAGACTTGGAAGGATCCTGTTGAATGCTGAACAGACTCCAAGATCCTAATTAGAGCATTTTACCTGCAGAGTTCCCTTTGCCAAGGAGGCTCTGAGCTCCGCTTCTCTCCCACCTGTTTCTGATGTTTCTGCCTGCTTAGCAGGTTAACGCTGAGGCCAACACGATGTGTGCTTCTTTAATGGCATACTCGAGCACATTCCTGTTGCCCAGTGAACAGATCTTCTAAGCATCTTCTGGGCATTTGCTAATTCTATTATGATGTTTCCAAGGAGATGGCATTCAGCAGAAGTCAAAGGGTGTTTGTTGTCTGGAAATAGGGAATCTTGTTTACTGAACTAGGTCCAGAAACTCATTTCTCTATCACTCATGGCCCTTTCCAAACCAGGTGATGCCTGGGTTTAGAAATTATATGCCTTCCAGGGGCATGTATCTGGAACTACCAGCTTCATGGGCCTGCAATGAGCTATATTAGATAAATAAAGAGAAGCACATTAAGTTCTCCAGATCTGTGAGTTCTGCTGGCTTGACATAAGAGACATGGGCCTCTCAAACCTGGGTTAAGTTTGCGTCCCATGTGAGGGATGGTGAATCCATTTGGAGAATCCCGGGCGATGTTGACGACCATAGCTGAAGTTTACTGAGTGCTTAACCACGTGCCAGGCACTGTGTCAGGTAGGGAGGGGCACAGGCTAATATTCTTTCCATTGTTAACAAGGAAAACAAGATTTGGGGGTCTCTCCATCCCTGCAGCATTAAGAAATCTGCTCTAACCACAGAGAAAAAAAGCTGCGGATCCCACAAATCAGCTTGCATTTCCTGTAACCACAGAGCAGCTGTTTTTAAGGATATGGGAACTACCAAAGTTTAGGCAAAACTTAAAGTCCATGCCCCTGGGGATGTATTTTTTTTCTCTCACTGTTAATTTCTATTACCTAACTTAGAACCTCTCATATAGCACAGGGACCAGCAAACCTTTTCTGGAAAGGGCCAGATAATAGATATTTTAGGCTTTACGGGTCATTTGGTGTCTGCTACAATGACTCAACTCTGCTCTTGTAGTGTGAAAACAGCCGTAGATAATACATAAACAAAGGGACATGGCTATGTTCTAATAAAACTTTATTTATAAAAGGGCCCATGGCCCTTAGACTATCATTTGCTAACTTGGATAGAGCATGTAGCAGGTGCTTCACAAATATGTGTGGAATAAGTAAGTCTAATATAGAAAGTTCAAATACCTATAATTAAAAACACAAAGCTGGTATTTATAAATAGTTTATTAACCAGTTAAGAACTGCTTATTGTATAAATTTTGGAAAAAATTAAGAAGTGCATAAAGAGGAAAGTAAAGATCATGACTAAAAGATAACCCGAGTTAACAATTTGGGGTATTTATATCCTTTTAGTCATTTTTCCAGGCATGCCTTTTTTCAATTAACAGAGTGAATAACTAGAATTAAAAAAATATCCTGATATGCATTTGTTCTATTATGGAAAACGACTGATGAAACCAGCTTCCCTTGGGACTCAATTGAAAGGAGCAGTTCTCTTTGAGGCAGTGAAAGGATCTGCTCCAAGTCAGCCCAATCATCTCTACCCCTTGACATCCCAAATCAGATTTCTGTTCATGATCCAGGTTCCGAAAAATCTCGAAGTGCTCTTTGGATCCCAAAGGAAGATTTAATTAAAAAACTCAGTAGGATTTCGGCATTGACTGCTGTGCTGCTTATGTGTATAGCGACTCGTTTAGCCAAAGGATGGCATTTTCTACCCCAGTTCTGGATGCTGAGGAGTTCCCGGAATGCTGTTTGCAGGGGCCAGGACATTTCAAGAATGTGCTACCCTAAAATGGGCCAGGAAGGGCTGTGATGTATGGCAGAGCCATAAGGCGTTAATAACTTGGTGAGAGAGAGGAAGCGATCAGGAATATTTTATCTCTGTGGCATGGAAAGCAATAATGATTCATTCTCCCACCTGCCCAGCATGCGCACGCGAGCACACACACACACACACACACACAACCACCCACCCCATTGTGTGGATCCTTGAGGGTGTTTGACCCACTGTAGTCTGATATTTAGGATTACACAGCCTCTGACACCCTACAATGCCATGTCTTCTTCCCGCCCTGTCTCTTTCCACCCCCAACCCCGACATAAGCTCATCCCTGTGTCACTCATTTTTAGGAGCTGGAGAGCACTCGGTCATCTCAAGCAATCCTGAGGGTGTCAGAAGCCCACTGGTGCTCAGGTGGCTGCTCAGGCTGCCAGGCAAGTGATGACCACTCTCTCCCCCCAGCTGGGGAATGGAAAACCAGCAGGAAACATTTATATCCTGCAACTCTTAAATTATGGATGTTTGGCTTGGTGGGAAAGGTAGGTGGCCAAATCATGTGCATAGAACGCATTTGATATGCGTCCATCTGGGCTCTTGCTATTCTTGGCAATGACTGTACGGAATTCCACCCTCTACCCCAAACACCTCCTCTGCTCTCCTCAAAGCCCTGTGGTGGCTGTTTACCAAATATACTGCACCATGTCCCCTTTGAGCTGTTGAATGTTCAGTCTGGAAGACTCCTTTACCTCCCAGGAGGGAAGACAGTGGGGAGGGGTGAGGTGCCTGGTGCTGTCCGCTGGTGCTCTGATTTATGCTGCCGAACAACACTGTTGGTAGGTGGGGTATCCCTATTTTTGGATCGGGATAGACTTTTATTGTTGGCAGTAACCATATTTCCCCCCTTGCATCTGCCCCTCTCAAAGCACTTAAAGCAGTGCCTGCTGCAAAGTAAGCACCAAATAATTGTTAGCTATTACTGTTGTCGCTGCTGCTGCTGCTGCTCTTTTGCTCAGCTTGGCCGTGGGAGCAGCTGGGTACTTAAGAGGATCACCTTTGCTCTTGGACAGACCGGTGTTGGAGTCCCAGCTCTGCCTCTTAAAAGCTGAGCTTTCCTGGGCATGCTATTGTGCTGTATTTCTGATTCACAGTTTCCTTACCTGAGAAATGAGGGGTGGTCACGGAGCTATGGGTATGCTCAGCACGTAGGAAGTGTAGACTATCTGGTCGGTCATTCTATAAAGATCCTGGGCTGAGATGAACACCTTATACTGGTCAGAGGTGTTTGCCAGCTAGAACTTCCAGCTGTAGAAAACATCTGGGCAGCCTCTGTATGCATGAACGTTTGTGGAATATCTACAACGTGCCCGTTGGTGTTTTAGGCACTGGGGAAGCATTGGGGAACTTACAACCCAGTTAGAAACAGACGGACAATGAACAAGCAAGCAACCAACTAAACAGATAATTTTAGGTAACAATGAGAATTATGAAGAAAACACAGCAGAGAGAATGTGATAGTGACAGGAGATGGGCAGGGGACGACAACATCAACAGGGTAACCAGGAAGGAGCTGTAGGAGGGATGTCATTGGAGCTGAGGATGATGAGGAACAGACAGCCAGGGAAAGGCTTGGGAGATGAGGACAGAAGGAACAGCAGGTTCAAATCTTAAATGATTTCCTTCCTGAAGTCTCTATTAACTTGTGAGCCACGCTTTTCTTCTGTGTAGAGTAGCAACCTATTAATTCTGAGTTTCCCGACGGCACAACACTCTGGACCAGGTCAGCCTAAGGATGCTCAAAAGGCCTAATCCTGGACTTGGGAGCAATCGCACTTCACGACGAACATGATGGCGACCTTCATGGTCAGTGAATGCCACGCAGGCTGCTGTTCAAGTTTGGAAAAGCCCCAAGCCCTTGATGGACTGCTGTTGGAATCCAGAGCCTAGTCACTCCCTAAGAGACAGTCCCAGACGTGTCTGAGTGTAGACAGATCTGGGTGCTACTGACTTCCAGCAGGTGATATAAGGCATCGGGTTAAATCATTCTGCAGGCTCTTCCTAGGGAGAGTCCAAAGCCTCTGGGCCTGATGTACAGGTGCTGTGGTTAGTTTCCTAGAAATAAGACCATAGAGGCATTTATTCATTTAGCAAACATGTTGACATGTGTTGAGCACCTACTGTTTGCTAGGCAACCTTCTGGGTAATGGGAAAGTGCAAAGGTGAATAAGACATACCGTCTGTTATCCAAGAACTGAGTCATGGCTGTTGTAGTTACTGTTTGGTTTTGGCCCTGCTACTTCTTTTCTCTGGGCGTTAGTTTTCATGTATGCAAATTGACAAGACTCAGCCAGGGTCTTTCTGGTACTGTAGCTCCACAGGTTAGCAAGGGCTGTTAACTGGAGCAAGGACATCAATGCCAGTGGGGGTAGGGGAGTCTTTTGGGAATGAGACCCAGCAGAGCAGCCGCCTGTGTGGTTGTGGGCTTGCTAGTGGATTGAAACAGGTTTGGACCCCTAATTAAGGAAAAAGCCTTCAGCAATGCTGCCCAAGATGAATTCTCTGGTCTTGATTTTTTTTTTTTAAGTAAAAATGGCATATTCTTAGAACTAGTGACTGCCGAACGTATTGGTAAGTTTCCAGTCAAATTTCAGACTGGATTTGGAAACAGATGGCTTTTAAGTAACTGGGGGAAAAAGTGGTGATATGGAACCCACAGGAATTCACTAAGCAAAAGCCATTCACGAATTAATTCAACAAATATTTTTTCGAGCATATTTTATGTGCATGTGTCAGGCACTGTTTTAGGCACTGGGGATGTGGCAGGGACTAAAAGAGTTAAAAATTGTTTGTCTTCTCTTGTGGTATTTACCTTCTGCTGGTGGTGGGGGAGTAACAGACAATAGACAAGGTAAATCAGCAAGGCTATAATTGCCTGTGAGGTGATAATAAGTCCTACAGAACAAAGTAAAGCAGGGAAGAGAATGTGGATATGTTAGGGTTCTCTCTTCTGTGGTGAATGAAACCTCTTCTATGTGGATTTAGAGGGAAGAATTGGAATCAGTAGGTACAGTCCAAGTTACAAGACCCAGATTTGGTTTCAACAAAAGGAAGAATTCTCTGGCCACTGGAAGCGAGTTTCCTAGCCCAAAAAATGTTTGAACAGCAGCTACTTACCCCCAACCCCCCTGCGTGCCCCCTGCAGGGAGTATCTTCATTGGGAATTAAAATTCACTGATTCTGATCTTTCTCATAGAAAGCAGACTAGACATTTAACTATTTTTTTTAATTTGATGCTCATCTATTCATCACTTATTGTTACAGATAGAAGGGAGCGGGCTTCTGCAACTCAGAATTTCCTGCACAAGTTTGTGAAATGAACTTGGTTCATAAGATTGGCTCAAAAGAATCCTCAATTGATCATTAAAATTTTTATTTTAAGAGAAGGTAATGTCTGTACATTCAACATGTTTTAAGATGTAAGTGTCCCTCCACCTTTGAGCTCTAGACTCCTTGGTTCTGAGAAACAGTGACCAGTGTTTGACGGTCTCTCTAGAGAGCTCAGTGCGTTCACAGGTGTACATACACATGAAGGTTTGATGAGAGTGAGGACATGACAGCCCTCTTTTCCCCATTTAAGTTCTGAACCATTTGAGAGGAGATTTGGCTGCAGGCAATCAGAACTTCAGGTTCATTATCAATGTTGCTCCTGCAGAAGGTGCCATTGGATTGTAAGGAGGGGTGGAAGTGTTACATTAAGTGATGTCCCCTAATATGGAAGTAAATGGAAAAAGTGATGAATGAGTGTTCCTATTTAACCATAGAATTAGATCTTCCCCCTTAAAGACCCCAAATGGTAACATCTTGTTCATGGTGTTCTACACCTTGGGTTTTGCACTTCAATAAACATCTTCAATACTGCCTTGCTGTAGTGCAGTGCTATAGAGATCCCAAATCTTTTTAAGAGATGCAGAGAATTCAATCAGGTGGATGGATCACAGTTAGTTTAACCAGCCCCTGTTGGTGGCCATCAAGGTCGTTCCCCACCTGTTGCTATTACAATGTTGCAATGACTGTCTGTGTATTCATGGAAGCACATCTTGATCTTGCACCTGGCTGGCAGATTAACCAGAGCTCCAAGGACCAGGGCTTAATAATAACGTGGTTCCCATAGATACTAGGTAATGAATGCCACTTAGGTTGGGGACATCTTTATCTCTTTCTTTGGGGGATATTTCAGTAGATAGAATTCTCACCTACTGAGATATAAGTTTGGTCAATTTTGTGCCCTACTTATTGTGCCTGTCTAGTTAATGATCAGTGGTGGTGAAACAGGTGTCACTGGGCAGATGAAGCCTCGTCATTTTATGAGAGAAATTTGTCTGTTGGGAAGCATTGCCATGGGTGCTGGGCCAGCAGGTGGAATTTTAGTGAGTGATTGCAAACTGGAAATTTTCAAAGATCCTTGACTTCTTTGTGAATCACCGAGCTCTCTCTGTTCCTGCATGGGTTCCTTTGATTCAAGAAGCCTGAGATGATAATTAAACAAAGCCCATGGATGGTGGTAGGTGTCTGGTATCAAATCACTCAGCCTTCAGTTCTGGCTTTGACATTTATTAGTTGAGTCACCTTGACCTCTGTAACAGAGTTTCCCAAACTTGCCACTTTTGACGTTTGTGGCTAAATCATTCTCTTTGTGGGAGCCATTCTGGGCATTGTGGGGTATTGAGCAATATCTTTGGTTTCCACCCACTAGATGGCGAAAGTACTCCCCCTTTTCCCAGTGTGACAACAAAAAATGTCTCTACACATTGCCAAATGTCATCTGGGGAGAGAGGAATCAGCCTTGGTTGAAAACTACTGCTCTACAAGACTGTTCCCTCATGTGTAAAACAGAGATAATATTAACACCAACTGCATAGGGCTGGTGTCAGGGTATATGTGAAGCAGTTTGCACCATAAAAACTCTGCTGTTACGCTCTCGTTCTTATTCAGCATCTGTGCAAGCTGAAAAGTGTGTTCTCATACCTCTTCGTAACCTTGTTGGAGAGGTGGCATTGCTCTCCTTCTACATATGAGATGAGACTCAGAGATCTAGTTAGGAAAACAGTGGTAGGAGTCATGAGAAGGTAGGGGAGGCCAGTAGAGGCTGTCCAACCCTGGGTTCCCCAGAAAACAGAGCCCGAGGCAAAGCTTAGGAGTTACGCTTGCATTGGGGAGTGCAACTGCAGGGCTGCAAGAGCGAAGGAGAAAGACAAGCACGGTAGAGAAGGAGGAAAAGCAACTGTGAGGTGTTATGTTCCTGAGTGGCCACAGCCTCACCAGAAAACACAGCCAGCAGACTTTGGAAATGCCACATGGAACGGAAAGGCAGTGAATATATCTGCCAGGTCCTTGTAGCCATCTGCTTGCATTGGTCTGGTTCTCTCCACGAAGCACTCAGTCCTTCATGTTCCAGGTTGTGTTACCTGTGCTCACAGCCACTGGGAAGCTAGAGCCTCCAAGGGTCTGATAGAATCGGACCTGAGTCTTGGAGCTGCCATGGTCTCCACTGTGGTGGCCCTAGCCACGGGGGAGGCTGTTGGTTGCAACTGGGGTTCTCTACTGAACAAATGGCAGGGCCTGGGGTGCAGTGGGATTGAGTAGACCTGGGGAAGCATGTCAACTGGATCCAATACCACCCACCCGCTGCATCATTCAGATCTATTTACAATCCACTCTTTGCTTTACTCAGAATAACTCACATGCTCTTGCTTGAGAATAAGATGCTCTTACTTCATTCCAAGAAGGGGAGGTATAAATCCAATTCCTTAGTTGCAATGGCTGGTTGCACTTTCCTAAAAATGATTAGCAAACTGAACTGCATTTGCTACAGTTGGACCGAGGGCAATATTGATATTTATCCTCTCCCTTCCTCACAACTAATTCCAGATTTCTTTCACCTTTGCCCAGCATTTTGGCTGCTCTTGTTTGCTTGACTAAAAGTGTGGCCTTGACCTTCACCTGGAGGGGTCTGAACCCTTAGTTGCCTTGCCCATCAAGAGGTGGTTGCAGCAATTGCCCATTCACAGTTATCCCTGGGCATGAAAACATTCCGAACACCGAGCAACTCTCCTGAGTCCCTGACGTGTTCCTCCTCGCTCTTCACTCTGTAGAAGTTACACTAAATCTCCTGACAATCGGGGTCCATTAGCCTGGCCAATAAAGTAACTCCTTTTTTGTGTGTGTGTGTCTGCAGGACTTCTGGAGTGAGCTGCTTAAAATGGCCAGATGGAAGTCGCAGCTTCCAGTTCAGAGGATCTTTTGTTATCCTCCGGCAGAAGTGTTCACCTCTCATGAGTCAAGACCATGAATCCACCACAGCCTGAGGTTGCAGGCGCAGGAAGCACAAATCTCATAAGTGGGTCCCTGGGTGTCATGATTACAGCGGCTGACACTACTCTTAGTGTTGGAGTAGATGGTAAGACACTGAATTTCATGGTCATGAACTCATTGCTACACTCCCTTTGATGTAAAACGGGTCCCTTGGACTGAGGCAGTGGATGTGTGGGACAGCACATTGATGAGCAAGGTATTCGGTAGGCTTTTGTATGGTGGTCTTGGTAAAGAGATGCATACAATGGGTGTGGTATAAAAACTCACTCTACTATCCTGCAGTTGCCTCCATACTCATCAAGAATGTATCACAGTTTATTGCCTCTCAAAGCCCTTTCAATAGAAGGCTTTTGTTTGAAATACCTGGTGACCCACATCTGATGGGCTACCCGTGACTTGGGACCAGTGCCATATAGCCAGGGCTATTTCTACCTGACCCACTGACCATGCTAGGGTTGAAGTAAGATATTGACTGCTCAGACAGAGACTCACAGGGGTCTTCTGGGTGGAAGATGAGAAATCTGAGATAGTGAGCATGACCTGAAGGAATGGTTTAAATTGTTGCATTGAATTGGACTGAACTTTTTTTCCCTTAGCTATCTGGTAGGTCAGGGCTCAATATTAAACTATATTTTGTCTGCATGTCAAGGGATAATGAGACCCCAAATCATTTATATGTTCATTTTTGGGGAACAGGGGTGGGGAAGGTGAGGAGCAAAGGGAGTCTTTAGCTCTCATCAGGTTCTCTGACAGGTATAGGACCTGAAAAAACTAAGAACTCCCAAGCTCGCAGCAAGGATAAGCAAAGATTTTGGCTTGTCATAAATAGCGATAGGCATGTTGGGTATGTGGCAATCAAGCTTGGCTACTTTGTAGGGTCGTGGGGAGAAGAACGGGGGAACAAACTTTGTTTTCATCTACCATTGATAGAAATGTTTCTGTAAGTAGCATCTGAACCCACAAAACTTCTGGAATAATCTGACATGTTGTGCTGCTTGGACCCGGACCACAAACTCGAAGTGGGACTCCCAGGAACTGTCTAGTATGGGTATCTTGCTCTATAAATGCTTATCAAATATATTAATGCACAGGGAAATGATATATCATTCCTACACCCTAAAGAACTGGAAAAACATCTTTACACAAAGACCCATGTGCAGGCACACTGATACAATGGTATTTGTAATGGGAAAATATTAAATACAACCTATTTGTCCATCAGTAGAAAACTGGTGGAAAAAATAATGGTGCATCCAAATAATAGAATACATATAATAATACAGCTATTAAAAGGATAAAGCAGATCTATACATATTGAAATGAAGCAATCTTTAGGATATATCACGAGGAACTTTGTATATAGCATGCTTTCCATTAGTTTAAAAATGAGTCTAAATGTAATATCTATATTTATATCTGTGTATCTGTAGCTATACATTTACCTACACCTACATCTATATTTATCTCAAACCATGTTTATAGCTACTGTGTTTACTTTTCATAAATAGAATATTTCTGGCAAGATTTATGGAAATCTAGGACCCTTAGTTGCCTGTGTGGAGAAGAACCAAGTGTGTGTGGGAGATTGTGAAGTCAGAAAAAAGGAAATTACTCTTTATTTGAAGTCTTTTCATTCAATTTCATTTAAAAAGCCCTCTTTGCTGGTATTACTTAAAAAACTTTAAAATTAGAAACCATTGGATTAAAATATGTATTTTCAAGATTAAGAAAAATATCCAGCCATACACAGACACATGGGGCCTGGGGTTGGAGGTTAAAGTTAATTAACCAGGCAGAATCTGGTTTTTACCAAACTGCGGCTATAGGGTTTAAGGTTTTAATCTTCTTTTCTAAGCTGCCAGATACAAAGAGAGACCCCAACTGTTTCAATCCAGGTTCAGTTATTTTGGGCTGAATTGAAACAGAGGTGGGGGGTCGTCCAGGAGGAGGGCAGCCAGGGCTTCTGATCCTTTTGTCACGTTCATTCTGCTCTGAGGCAGTTTCTGATGATGTAAGCCAAGGCTTGCTGAGAAAGCTCGAAATAACCCGGAGGATGGGAAAGGAGGGGACCTAAAGCAGCATTTCTGGAATACTTTGTAGATTTCAGGAACTTTAGCAAGGTGCTTTCCTTCATCCTTACAAGACCCCCATTTTGCATATGAGGAAACTGAGGCTCCGAAGGGAAAGAGAATTTTGCCCAAGCTCATCTGGCCAGTAAGCAGGAGAGCTAGGATCTGAGCCTGGGTCTGGATGGCTCATAGGTCTTTGTGATCGTTTCACTACATCGTGATTTGCAGGTGAAGGCTTGTCTGTAGTGGAGGCCAGCTTTTAGGCAGCGACCACGAGATAGAGGAGACCCATCTTCCTGGAGCATTGCTTACTCCTGATGAAAAGTAATAATAAAAAAAATCACCTTAAAGTAAATACAGATGCGATATGAAGTCAAATGCAAAAGTCGCATGAGTTTTTCAGATAAAATTTGAGGTGTTAGAGAAGCTCCTTGCTCGTTTCCAAGTCTTTTCTCCACAGCCTCTAAGCACTTGTTCTTTGTGGTCAGGAAATGTCAGAGGCACTGCCACCTTCTGAAAAGCAGTGGGGCGTGTTTAGCAACGTGCCCACCTCCCAAAGGCTACTGTAAATCCACCTGGAGAGCAGACGAAGGGGGACACCGGTATCAGGTATGGAAGTCAAGGGAGGGTTGGGCTGTCAATGTGCAGATATGCAGTATCATTTCTTAGATAGAGATTTCGTAAAGGTATATATTTAATCTGGAGGAGACTGTTTTAGACAGTGCCTAGAAGCAGTATGGTGAAGCTAAGACAGAGATACATGCTATGTGCTGCACACATACCACTGGTTCCTCAATCCTGTGTCTACAGCAGACGTTGCTAATCAATTACAGCACACTTTCTCCACTAAGCATGGATCCAGCCTCACTTCCCCCCCCCCCAGTATAGTCCCTTCGATCTCTACTGTCAGGTAAATGGAATTGCCATTTATGGTGAAAGCTATCTGCCATGCAAAAGTTAAGTGTAGTGGTTAAAACACACATTTGGGAGCCAAACTGTCTAGGTTTGAATCCTGGCTTTGACACTTAATAGATGTGTGGCCATGGCCAAGTCATCGACCTCTAGGAACTTCAGTTTCTTCTCATATAAAATAAGAATAAAAATGGTGCCTGCCTCATAGGATTGCTATAATGATTAAATGGGTTAATATATTTGCAAAGTTCTTAGGTCGGTTCTTGGTACACTTGTTTATATTATTGATATAATTTAGTCAGGCTGGGCATGGTAGCTCATGCCTGTTATCCCAGTACTCTGGGAGGCTGAGATTGGAGGATTGCCTGAGGCCAAGAGTTTGAGACCAGCCTGAACAAGAATGAGACACTGTATCAATAAATAAATAAATCGTTTAGTTAAGCCAGCTTCCTGTTACAGATAAAGAAACTGAGGTCTAGTAACTTGCCCAAAGTCATTCAGATAGAGAGTGGTGGAGCAGGGATTTGAATTCAGGTCTGTGGGCATTCCTGCTAAATGACCTACCTTGTGTGATAATCTGCACCATAAATTTCCTCTCATTAAGGTCATTTTCTTTGCATTCCCAGTGGTCTGTGCATGTCAGACTGACATGTAGGAGGTGGGGACAAGGGACACTGTTACAGAAGCAGAACATGGGGTTCCATGAGGGGTGTGTTGTGAGTGGGGGAGGTAGAGAAAAGACTGGGGACTTAGGGGTCTGGCCTTTGATGGGAGAATGGGGTCACTTCTGACTCTTGAGGCATGGCAGGGAGCAGATGAGACAGAGTGCTATGCTATGTTTTGTTGTGGGTGTGTTTGGAAGGAAGGGACACTTGGGAGTACAATTCCCTAATCACCTGGCCCTTATGGGTACAAGTCAATAGATACTAGGTGATGATTTAACTACTAGGCAACTGGGGCTTCCAAAATAAACTATAATATATTCCTTCCTGCGACTTCTGGCAAGTGCCTCTGTGTCTATGTAGTAGATTGAAAAACTGGCATCATGTACCTCACATTGAGAAGCAGATGTTATTTATTCTTCAATTAGATGTGTCTCTGTGAATTGACCAAGAGAAAGTGGGAGAAGTGTCAGCATGAGTTCTGAGCCTAAGCCTCAAGAGTCCTGACAGATCTCTCTCTTGATATTTTTAGAACCCTCCACCACCATGTGAACAAGCCCAGGCTAACATCATGGATGATGGGAGTTATGTGGTCAGAGACTCCCATTGTCTTTGCTATAGCCCCCCAATCACCAGCCAATCCATGAGTGAAACCATCCCAGGCAAACCCCAGCTAACCACTGGTTGATCACAGACACACACACGAACGTCACTGAAGTCAGACCAGAAGAACCTCCCTGCTGAACTCAGTCCAAATTGCTGACCCCCGTGAGTCAGAATGATGAAGAAAAGAAATGATTGTTATTTACTTCCTCCAACATCTGAGTTTTAGAGTGATTTGTTACACAGAAACATACAACAGATACATGAACTATGTCAAGATGGGCCATAAAGCCCAGCCAGCCAAAACAGCCAGGAAAATCCAAAGCTTAGTTTTAACAATTTTTGTTTTCGCAGGTCTGATATCTACTCAAGATTTTTCTGAAGAAGGGTTGTCTCTGGTCTTCAAACAGCAGGCTTTAGATCCTGAGGAAAACTCAAACACCATCCTCTTCTAGCATGGTGAGGAAGGGAACAGGGAGGGTGGCTTGGCTCACTGTTTTTCGATCTCTGATTAGCTACTCACAAGTGGTGACAGAGTAGGGTCAAGGAGTTGGAGCCCCAGAACCTACCCTCCCCCCGACTTTTATCAGAGCAGCTATACTTTTATTTGTTCATATATACCTTCATTTAAAAGTGCATTTTTTTGTACTTGCTATGTTCCAGTCTAATACATTTTTCTGGAACTCTGATTGCTAGGCCATTAAATGATGAGCACATTTGTTCATTGGCAGAGAGAATCATTTGCTTTAAAAAAAGTTTGAAATCCTCTGCTGTGTACAATATTTTCTCAGTGTCCTTTTCAGAAGGTGGAAGCATTTTCCTGGAAAGGTAATTTTGGCTGTAGTTAAGTCAGAGCCATCTGCGTGTCTGCCAGGAGCCTGGCTTGGCTGGAGGAGGGGCTGGCCTGGCTTCCTTGAGGTCTGGGGGGTGGGGTAAGGGGTACAGGGCAGGGATTTTGAGAGGTCTGACTGGTTCACAACATCACCCCAGGACCCTCCTGCTCAAGTCCACCCTCATGGGTCAGCAGGGTGGGGGTGGTGGAGTCCTAAACCCTGGCTTCTGGGATGCCCAGCTGCTTGTTGGCATTGCCCTTCCTTCTCCGTCTGCAAACCCAGAGCATTCCTGCTGGCAGTGGCTGCCGCCAGGATGGAGCACAGCAGGGAGTTTGACTGCTTCATTTTTCCTTCTGCTCCTTGGCATTCTTCTGTCTTCTCTCCAAGGCCTGGTGCTCAGCAGCCTGGCCGAAGAGGGCAACATCCACCTCCTACCCTTTCCAGTCTCTTTTTCATCCCATTAGTGATGGATGGCCGTGTTTTCTCTTCTGTTATTTCTCAGGTACTCTCACACACAAGAGGCAGACATTGGACTAGAATTCAGGAGTCGGGGTTCAGCAGACCAGCACAGTAATGTTGAGAAAGTTGCCTCTCCTCTCTGGGCCTCTGTTTCCTCCAGAGAGAAAGAGAGATTTGGCCCCAGCCAGCCCCAAACCAGCTATCCTCTGCCCCCTCCACCGTTGGTCCACAAACCCCCATGGAGACAGAGCCCTTCCAAGGGTCTAGCCTGAGACCTGCTCTGTCTTTGTGGAAAAGGAGATTAGTAAGTGTTAGACAGGTATTAAAGGGTAAACACCAACCTAAGGCTTCCTTTTATATAATAAGGATTGCAGACAATTGAAGGGGAGAGGTTTTTCCCATGTTGCAAATCAGTGTTTTAATGCCTGTTTTGTGTCTCACCTAAAATGATTAGCATCACAGGGACGGAAGGGGAAACACTGGGATAGGAACTCTAGAGGACCTGTTTGCATTCTGAATTTCTGTAAGTATTTAGTGTCTGTGTCCATACTTCTTCTGAGTCATTCAGATGCCCCTTATTTTGCTTGTCCTTGTATCCATTCCAGGCCAATACCACCACGGACGCGAAATACACTTGAGAGCTGGGTATGGAAGGACACTAAAGTTCTCACGTGAGATTTCTCTTCTCCCTCCTGGCCACCCTTGTACCTCTGACTTTTGTGTGATTCTGAGTATATAGGTGTTAAAAATGCAAGCAAACTTACGTTATAGGAAAAGAATTCTTGAGATGAATTGCTCTTGGGACAGAAGATGGATGAATATGCAGAATATGTTAAACGGCATCAAGCAAGTATTTGTTGGATACTTATGTCGAGACCAGTACAGCTCCAGAGGCTGGGGTACCAGCAGTGAGGCCGGCCAATGGGCAGGGAGACAGGCCATAGACATCAGTAGTGGAGGGGGGGCCTGGAAGAATAATACTCCCCGACAAAGATCTCCATGTCCTCACCGTCAGAACCTGTGGTTCTCTGGTGTTATGTGGCAAAGGGGAATTAAGGTGGTGGGAGGAATGCCCGTAGGGTGATGAGATTATCCTGGGTTATCTAGGTGAGCCCTGTGTAACCACAGGCCCTTAAATATGGAAGAGGAGGGCAGAAGAGTCAAAAATGGCATTGTGAGAAATACTCGACCAGCCATTACTGGCTTTGAAGGTACAAATGAAGCAAGAGTCAAGGGCTGAAGGCAGCTTTCCAAAGCCAGAAAGGACAAGATGATGGCTAGAGCCCCCAGAAAGGAGCACAGCCTTGCTGATGCCTTGACTTCAGCCCAGTGAGATACATTTTGGATCTCTGACTTCCAGAACTGTAAGATAATAAATTCGTGTCATTTTAAATCACTAGGTTTGTGGCAATTTGTTGTACTGGCAATAGGAAATGAATACAGTGGGATGCCTCATAAAGGAGCAATGCCTATCTGTGATGTCTTGATTGGATTCCTACTGGAGGCAAGGGCATGGATTAGATGACCTCAGGGTATTGCGTGTGCGTGTGTGTGCATGTGTGTGCATGTGCAGGTGTGTCCTGCCCCCCTCAGACACTGCCATTGCCATGTTATTCAGAAATTTGTCTATTTCCAGTATGGGAGTTTTCTACATTGTCTGCCTTTACTGAGATAAAATATCTTGGGTCATTCTCTCTCTCCCTCAGGATAAACCCAGTGAAGCATCAAGCTGAATAATTATAACTCCCCCGTGGGCAGCACAGTTGATGGTAGAACAGCATTTCAGAGAGGAGTGACCAGGCAGGGACTCATTTTCTCCGGAAGATGACGTGGCCTTTGCGTGTACCATAGACCCCCTTTGCCGGTGGCTTTGCTTTCTGTGGTTTCAGTTACCCACGGTCAACTTCAGTCTGAAAGTATCAAATGGGGGATTCTAGAAAGAAACAATTCATGAGTTTTAAGTGGCCCGCCCTTCTGAGTAGCCTGATGAAATCTTTCGTTGTCCCACGTTGGACATGAATCTGCGCTTGGTCCAGCATGTCCGTGGTGTGGATACTGCCTGCCTGCGAGTCACTTAGCAGCCCTCTCGGTCATCAGATCAACAGTCTCGGTGCTGCCATGCTTGTGTTCAGGTAACCCTTAATTACTTTTTTTTTTTTTTTAAGTGGTTGCTTTAGGGTTTACAATACGTGCCTTTAACTCACTAGTCTCTGCCTTCGAGTATTACAGTATCTTAATAGCTTCACCCACGGTGTATAGACCTCACGACCTTCCTCCTGTCCTTTGTGCTGTAGTGGGCCTGCGTCTTTTACTTCTACCTGTGTTATAAATCTCCAAATCTATGTATTTCCTTTAAACAATTTTTTTAAAAAAGAAATTGTAAAAATTTGAAAAAAAGAAAAGGTTTTACATCTATCACGTATTTCCAATGCTCTTGATTTGTGTGCATTCATGTTACGACCTGGTGTCATTATTAAACCCTTAATTACTTAATGATGGCCCCAAGGCATGAGAGTAGGGACACTGACAGTTCAGACATGCCAAAGAGGAGCTGTGAAGTGCTTCCTTTAAGTGAAAAGGTAAAAGTTCTCAACTAATAAGGAAAGAAACAAAACACATGCTGAGGTTGCTAAGATCTATGGTAAGAATGAATCTTCTATCCATGAAATTGTGAACAGTATATATAATTATAATCGTTCTGTTTTATTGTTGCTAATCTCTTACTGTGCATGATTTATAAATTAAACTTTACCATGGGTATGTATGCAAAGAGAAAAACATAGGGTGTGTAGGGTTGGTACTATCTGCTGTTGGTACTATCTGCATCCACTGGGGGGCTTGGAATGTGTCCCCTGCAGACAAGGAGGGCCACTGTAATGTCAAGATGGAAGGACAGTCCTGGACACAGCATCCTGCAGGCTGGGTGTTGGGAGGATACCAGGGTGTGGTCAGGCTAGATGGAGAGTGGGTGAAGTCACTGACTGACTTCACCTGACTTCAAGTCTCAGTTCTGCCACCTACAAGCTCAAGTCTCAGTTCTGCCACCTACAAGCTCTGGGATCTTAAGCTCAATTTTCTGAGTCTCCGTTTCCTTATCTGAAAGGGTGGTATGAGGTGATCTTTGAAACAACGCAAGTAAAGAATAATATCTACTATTTACAGAGTGTTCTGGCAGAGCTCTCCATGTGTTTACATATCGATTAAGTCATGAATCTTTATGACAACCCAATGAGATTGGGATATCATTCCCATTTTACAGATGAGGAAATGAGGCATGACTTGCCAAAAACTCACACTAGTGATGGAGTTGGTGTTTAGTGATGGAGTTGGTGTTCCAACTGGGCAGCCTGGCTCCACAATCTACTCTGGACCACCATGCCATAGTGCCTCTTGTATCACAGTGCCTAATGCACTGAGTAGGCATGCAACAGTGGTGGTGCTATTATGATTACCAAGCTCCACGGGGAGGTTTAGGAGCAGACACTATTAGAATCAAGTGAAACTGAGGGCTCATTTACTTCTGAGGTCAGAAAACTTTTTCTGTAAAAGGCCAGATGGTACATATTTTCAGCTTTGTAGGTCATGTGGTCTCTGTTGCGACTACTCAAATCTGGTGTTTTAGTGCAAAAACTGGCATACACAAGGTGTATACATACACGTATGGCTGTGTTCCAATAAAACTTTATTGACTAAAACAGGTAGTGGCTCACGTTTGCCGGCCCTTGATCTAGTTCAATCCTCTAATTCTTCATGTTACTTTAGGCAATTCCTTTTACTTTTCAGGGCCTCAACTTCCTCATTAGTAAGATGAGCACATGGAACTTCCTAGATGTGATGCTCTATGTCTAAGATCTTTGCCAGGTTAAACATGTTCTGTTTTCTAACTAACCAAATTTTGCAAGTGTGGTAGATATTTTCTGTTCCCTTTGGCTGCTCCACATCCAAAAATTTTACGTTCGAAAGAATCTTTCAAATGATGAAGCAACGCCTGCCTCCTTGCCTCTAAGCTGAAACCGATGGACGATTGCTTTCTCAGTATCCTTTGCAGCTAGAGCACAGCCCCATTCAATGACTCATCAGATGGCTCTGCCGGTCAAATGTTCCTGCCCTTTTTGAGTCAGAAGCTGGTGAAGGAGGAGGACCATGCAGAATCTGTTCTG